ATTCACACCAGACGTGGGACGTCGGGCTTCTGAAGTTGCGGAAAACGCGAGACTGGGGAGAAAAGCCTCAGGGATGGCCTCCTGCACGCCAGGCCTCTTGCTTGAGCCGCGCAGGCTGAAGTCCGGGGCTCTCCTGCCTTGCCGCCCGCCACCAGAGGACAGACCAGCGGGTTTGGACTCGTCTTGCTCCGGACAGAAATCTCCCTCCGTGATTCGGTCGGCCCCATAGGCTGACCTCAACGTTGAGCAGCCTCGCTGGGGTCTCCCTTCTGCAGCCCACACCCTGCTGCCCCCCCCTTCCCCGAGCCGGGGCAGGCAGGCCCCAGCCACACACTCCTTGGGCGGGTCGCCTCCAGCGTCCCTCCTGCTGATCGTGGTCCCCTTTCCTCAGGGAGCTCCACCAGCAGGGTGGGACTCACCGCCTCCCTGTCTTCGAGTCACCCGCCCGTGCATGATGCATGGCGCGGCTGTCTTCGTCATTCAAGGGGGTGGCGGCCCCTGCGTGCTTGTCATCTCTCACATCTTCCACACCAGCCCCGGGACACCCTGGTGTCTGTGTCTTGCACCGGGCTGGTCTCAGCTGAAGACCGCCCCTCAGGCTCACGCATCCGCTCTCTTCTTCCCCGGCTGCGGGGTGGTGGTGGGGGGGAGGGGGGAGAGGGAGCTGCTGGCAGGGGGAGGTGGGGAGGGTGGGCGGTCAGCTGGGGCCAGGCTCTGCTGCCCCCTCCCCTGCTTTTCCGTGCCCCGTCCTTTTCACAGCTGCCTCAGGCTTGTCTGCCTCCCTCTCTCCACAAGCTGTCCATGCCACCAAGCCCCGACGACCCCGCCATCTGCTTCTGTTCCACACCTTTCCCGACCCGTCAGCCGGAGGGGGTGGGGAGCCCGCAGGAGAGATGTATTTCTCAGCAACGCTTTTCCCTCCCAGCCTTATCGACTCCCCTCCACCACGCAACTTTCTTGGCTCCCCTGCATGGTCGTCTCGCCAACCCCCCCCCGCCCGCGACCTCACACACCGCCCTCACAAGCCTGGGCTGACTTTATCAGAGGACAAGCAGATGTCCCTGTTTGCAGAGCCTGTCCCTGTCCTGGTAACTCTGTCCTCGGCTACCCCGTGTCTCCGCGTGTGTCCTTGGCCGGGCAGTGTCTCCCAGGGATGCTGCTGCGCTCTCTGCCCTGTGTTCCCGGGGAGCCCCCCACCCCTCCCACCATGTCCCTACCCTCCCCCACTCCAGGTCACAGAAAAACTGGTGGGGAAAACGCCGCCCTCTGCCTCATCGATCCACTCTGGACACTGGGAGCTAAAGGCTTTTAAACATAATAGCACGTGGATGTATGTGAATGTACACACTTGTGCAGAAGTGATATGAAAAGATGCCTGCGGATTTTCTGGAAAACGTCTCCCCAGTCCATGAGTCGTCCCCCCACCCCATCAACACTGCGTTGTGATTCCTCATCCCGTGGGCTCCCCGCGCCCTTCGCCCACCCACACGCAGCTCGCCGCCTCCCTCGGCTGTGCCAACTCATCGTTAACATTGAACACGTTATTTCTCTCCTCCCTCCTCTCTGTATGTGAATTTTAACACACACATGAAGGCTAAAACGGTTGGAAAATTGTAAGTTCTCATTGGGGTTCAATTTACATTTCTCTTGTGGAGTCCGACCTCCTGTTAACTCTGATGGCTGCCATCTGCCTCCGAGTTATTCCTGCTTTAAAACAACACCAGCGGGCCGGCGTTTCGGCCTCAGCCGGACCTCTCCGAGCTGGACTGGGCTCTCTGGCACGCACGCCTCTTACAGCCCTGGACGTGCACAAGTAATTGTTCTTTGTGGAGCCAGCCCGAGCTTCTGTCCGATCACGCTCGCTGCCGTCCCCAGGAGCCACCCGGTCTCCACCCACGCAGACGTGGGGTTCCTTCTTTCCCGGCCGCCCCTGCTGCCCCCTCCTCCCCCGTGGGTGCCCGAGAACACGCAGACACACTTCCCTCCCCCTGGGTTTTTCTATGACCCACACACAGCAGGTTCCTGCGCTTCCTTCCCCCGGGACCTCTTCGGTTGGCTCTTTGGTGGCATCTGGAGCTCATGTTCCTCAGACCCCTTCCGGCCTTGACCTTCTGAGTCTTGCCCTGACCCAGAGGGGGCAGGCATCCCTGGCCCACCCGTCACTGGCACTCCCCTCTCCCCGAGTGCCGGGCACGTGTCAACAAACGGTATCTCCGTGCCCGCCTCCCTCTGCCATGTGAGTCCAGGGCCCTGGCTCTTCCCGAGGCCTGGGCCTGGCGACAGAGGCAGCTTCTGACTTCCCTGCGGGGCCCCTTCCCCGCACTCAGGGGCTGACCAACCAGCCTGGTGTCCATGACGGCCCGGCAGGGTCTTCGGCGACTCGGGAAGAGGCTTTCAGTTCCCAGCGTACTCTGTGTCTGGTGCTCGCGTGATCCCCATTTATACAGTGGGGAAACTGAGGCACAGAGCAGGTGAGCGACTTCCTGAGGCCCCAGAGCTAGTGAGCGGTGGAACTGGGATGCCAGCCCAGGCCGGGGTGGCCTGGGGCCCCCTCCTGGGCCACCTTCCTCCCTCCCTCCCTCCCTCCGTCCAAGGCTGGAGAAACCCAGCTCTCTTGTGCAGCCCAGGGTTGTCGGGGGCAAGAGCGGGAGCTGGAGTTCCGGGGCTGTCCCTCCACAGGGCAGCCTGCGAGTCCACAGGCCAGCTCGTGCTGCTCCCGAGGTCACCAGGAAGGAGCCCCGCAAGCCACCCTGTGGGAGTTGCGCCGATCCCAGCCCCCAGGGCGGTTCTGGACCTCAAGAACCGGAACCCCTCACAATTTGCACGCCTGCTGGTCTCTGCCTGCCCCCCGTCTGGAGCGTTCTGAATACAGCAGGATGCACTGAGACAAGTCTTAAGAGTTTGTCACTTTTCCTCTTTTCTCCTGGTGAGACCCCCAGAGTGGCTCATGTCTCCGAGCCCGGAGAAGGCCCAAGTGCGGGTGGCCAGCAGCTCCCTTCTCTCGGGAGAGCCCGGGCATTTGTCAGGGGGGCTCAGGTGTCCCGACAAGCTGCGAAGGTGAAACAGAAAACTCTCCTGGTGCGATTTTCCTATGCGATCTTCTGTCTCGTGTGTTCCCCTTGGGGGTGGAGGAGAAACACTCCCCTGAATAATTCATGGGCCCTGCCGAGGTGGAAACATGAGGCCTCTTTTCAATAAGAACGCTGGGGACACTGTGCGGATGGCACCTCTGCTGCGGCGCCCCGCAAAGAGCACGGGGGCCTCAGAAGCTCTTCCAAGTGCCTTTTGCAATAGTGAGACAAAAATCATTAAACTATTTCTGATCAAACAAACTTGGAGTTTTGGATAATGTGTAAAATTATAAAGCTGTCTTGAGCAATGGAATGAAAGGAAATTGAAAAAAATATTAAGTAGCTGTAATTATTATAAACTCTGATTTATTTGCAAAACTGAAAATGGTTGTCATCTGTTTTCTACCGAATGAGCACCTACTAGGTGCCAGGACCTCTGCTAGGTTTGTTACGTGAATCAGCTCGTTCTGTTGTCACCAGCGAACGGGGTAGGTCACAGCCCAATTCCCAGGGCCACCGAGACTCCTGGAGGTCAAGCACTGGGCCCCAGATCTGACCCAGATCTGACCCGGAAGCACATGCCCTGCCCATGGTGCCCCGGGGCTCGGGGTGGGCACCCTCCTGCTGCTCAGCTCCCTCTGCATTTGCAACGTCACTACCAGAAACGGCGAGAGCGAGAGAACGAAGGCTTTGGGATCCTTCAGGCAGCATTTTACGTATTAGTTACAGAACCATAACCTCTTGGCACCTGACAGAAACTCGGCTGATCCAGTCGGATGTTTTCATGTCGCAGAAAGCGAACAGTGCCCAGAACTCATGGGCTTTTCCCAAGGTTACAAGAGCGAGGCAGCGACACCGCTGGGCCAGAACCCTGCCCCTGGGACTCCTCGTCCAGTGCCCCCTCCTCAGAGTCACACACCACCGAGGAGGGACCCTGGGCTCCCACGGCGGCAACACAGAGGGCAGCTCCGCTCCATTACAAGGCTTTCCTTTCCTGCGGTTCGTTAAACCACAGACGTCCCACCGCTAAGAATGAGGCAAGGACTCAGAGCCGCGGCCCGCACGCAGACCCTGAGAAGGCAGGCGGCTTCCCACCAGCTCCGCGGGCCGGGTTAACGGCTGCCTTTCGATTCTGACTCTCGCAGGAAGAGCAGACCGATGGCTCTGCAGAAGGCGCGCTTGGCGTGTGTTCTTAACAGGACAGACCCTCCAGAGCGGCCAGTCTGCTGCCACCCCCCCCGCCCGCCCATGGAAATGGAGGCAGTCAAGTGGCCAACTCCTGGGCAAGGGATGGGGCGGAGCAGCGGAGCAGCCCCAGGCTCCTGGCCCGGCCGTCCAGGGAGCCATGGGTGTGCATGTCTGCAGGGCCAGCGCCCACACATTTTGGACACTGCAGTGACTTACCTGGGTCCTTCTGGTGGGACAGGTCCCACCCGTCCCCTCCTCCAAACAGGATGACAGGGTGCCCTACTAGCCAGTGGCCTCGGAGACAAGCTGGAGTCTCCAGCTCCCTCAAGGTAAGAGAGCCCCCGGTCTGTAAAGTGCTCTGACTTTTGTACGAAAGTCCCCCCGGGGGGTGGACACCCCCACAAGGTGGCTGCTAAAAGCAGTGCAGAGGCTGAGATGACAAAGACAGTGCCTAGAGCCACAAGGAATGTCTTTACTAAATCCAGAGCCACAGGGTGGCTTGGCCTGGTGGCCGGGGACCATAGCCTCGAACTCTCCCCCGCTGTGCAGGGCTGCTCAGGCTGGGCCCTGGCAGCTCCTCGGGGCTCCGTTTACATCGGCCACAGCAGGAGCGGTGCCCGCTGGCCATGCGCACCCGGCCTTTGGAACCAGAATAGGGTTCAAGGGTCATGAGCTACTTGCTGCTTCCAAGGGCAGCCCCGCCTAAGAGTGGGGTCCCGCCGCCACCGCTCTCAGACTCACCAGCCGCTGCATGCTCTTCACGTGGGTGGGGCTGATGGACAAGGCTTCTTCGTACCACCGCCGGGCTTCGTCGATGTGGCCCCGCAGCTCGGCAACTTGGCCCCGCATGTACAGGACGTTGTGGGACATCGGGAAGAGGTTGGCAGCCTCCTGGGTGCAGGCCGTGGCTTCCGCGGGCTTCCCGATGCCGATGTAGACCTCCGCTGCGGGGGAGAGAACAGAGGCAGGTGATTTCGACTCCACGGGCCTTCGGAGACCCTGCCGGCGACTGTGACTCTGGCTGCGGACGTTTATGTCTGCAGTGGGGTCCCCCCACCCCCGCCCGAGTCTGGCTGGGGCCCATCAGGAACACGCAGGGTCCGGAGCCGGCCAACGCCCCTCCCGAGTGGAAGCGGCTGCAGGCTGACAGTCCTTCATGCCCACGGTTACACGGGGACGCGGGTCTCTCACACCGTGGGGCCCTGAAGGGGACACATGTCACCACCGAGAGGGGAGTGAGGCCTGCGTGGGATCCCCCCAGCTCCAGGACACCCATCCTAGGTAGGCAGGGCCCACCTAGAACACCTGGGGCCTGGGACACCTGGCAGCCACAGGGAAGGGCCAGAGTGAGCTCACGGAGAAGCGCACAGCCCCTCAGAGGGCAATGGCCCTGCTCTCTGGCCTGTTCTCCTGACACCAGAGGTGAGGCGAGGGCAGCCCGCTGGGGCTTACTGTCTATGGGCTGAACCTGAACGGTGACCCTGCCCACTGGCCAGGGGGCTGCTGCACCCTGGAGACTGTCTACTGTAGCCCATCAGCGAAGCTCTGGGAAAACCAAGCCATCGCTTTCAAGACAGAAGGAAAATGGCCTGTCTTCCATTCTCGGGCCTCAACTTGCCCAGCTCCACACAGAGGGTCCTCAATTGCCTGCAGGCCTCCCCGAAAGAGCCCATCACGCGCGCCCCATGGGTGCCACCCATCTGTGTCTCAGAAACACGCAAGCACCTTTTCCACCACCTTCCCAGGGCCCGGCTGTCGGGCCCCTCAGGCCCCCGGCGGCCACATCCACATGGGTGATGGCTCCATAGGCCACGGGAAAGCCCGGGAGGGTGCGGTCTCGCCAGGGTGCAGACCCATCCCGACCCCGAGACCCCCGCTGTCAGGGCCTCCATCAGCCCACCCTCAGCAGTAGCACAGAGATGGCGGGCCGGCCGGGGGAGGAGAGGCCGGAGGGCCTCTCAGACACGGAAACCTAGGCCGTCGGAACGCAGCCTCCGCGGCCCTAAGGTGGCCGGGCCGGCCGCACGCCTGCCGCACGCCCTCCAGAGGCCCCGGCACCTGGGGCTCTGCTAGTGTGCATGGCACGCTGGGCTCCGCAGAGACAAAGACGAGGGGATCTGCCCTTTGGTTGGGGCCCAGGCACAGCCTGCCCTTCTGGGACACGAGCACCCTCCTCCTGACACCGCAGGGCCGGCCGATGTCCTCCCGCCATAACACGGTTCTTTCCAGGCTCTTGCCAGAGAGAGTCGGAACCACACCCACCACGGGTCTGGGCTCCCTGGGCACGGCGGTGACCTGGGGGGGGGGGGGTGCCGAGTAGACATGCCTCCTGCTGAATGCTGGCTCCTGCCTTGTTTCCTCTTTGGGGGTGAGTTCATTTCCGAGGTCCTCAGGGCCCAGAGCACCGTCTGCGGGCGGTGGGGACACACCGGGCCTCTCCTTCTAGATAGGTCACTGGGGAATTCTTACAGGGCCAACTTGAGAGAGGAGGTCTAAACACTTCCAGAATTTTCATACCAAGAGGCAAGGCCAGCGGAGCCTCACACCAGCAGCACAACGGCGTGCGCACTGGCCTGTTCTCGGAGGGTCCCCGCGAGACCGAGAACCTCCCTGACTGACCGCCGCGTCTCCATCGGCCACAGGTCTGAGCCTCCGCTCCCTCCACGTGCTGGGGAATGGAAGACGGAGCTGAGCTGAGTCACCATCAGAAGGGGGAGAAAGACCCAGGCTCCCAAGGGCTTTTCCAGCGGCCTAGAAGTTGCAGGAGGAAACCCCTGTCGCTGGTGAGGCTTGTGCTCCGAGGCCGACGGGGCAGGCGAAGGCCCAGGCTGCTCCCGAGTGTCTCATTTTAAGTTCAAATGGAAGGACGTAGGATGCAGTGTACTACGGTGATTTGCAAGCCATTTCCCCCAGTGGAGCCTCCTTTTTCCAAAGAGATTCCAAGAGTAGGGAGCGCCCTGGCCGGTGTGGCTTGGTGGGCTAGGTGTCCTGCAAACAAATGGCAGCCAGTTCAATTCCCGGTCAGGACATGTGCATGGGTTGCAGGCCAGCTCCCCGGTTGGGGGTGTGTGGGAGGCAACCAATAGATATTTCTCTTGCACATCAACATTTCTCTCCCTCTCTGTCTAACAATAAATGAAATCTTTTTTAAAAAAGATTTCATGTATTTATTTTTAGAGAAGGAAGGGAGAGAGAAAGAGAGAGAGAGAAACATCAATGTGCGGTTGCTAGGGGCTGTGGTCTGCAACCCAGGCATGTGCCCTGACTGGGAATCGAACCTGCGATGCTTTGGTTTGCAGCCCAAGCTCAATCCACTGAGCTACGCCAGCCAGGGCTTAAAAATAAATAAAATATTAAAGAAAAAAAACCCCAGAGTGGGCAGCTTGCCCTCAATTTGGCTTGGCCCCTCTCCTGGCCTGGGAGGCACCGTTGGGGACCCGGACTGTAAGCCCTGGTGTCATGAGAACATCGAGGATTTGGTCCCTGTGCCTGGGGCTGGTGTGTGGCCTTGGGCAGGGCGGTTGGCCTCCCTGGGCCCGTTCACCAGTTGAGGGGGCCTGGTGCTACCCCACGTCTCTGCGAGGGTAGTGGGCCCACCAGGAGGAGGAATCCTGCAGCCCAGGGGGTTTGAAAATGGTGAGGGTCACTTTATACGTCCCTAAAGCCTCCAAAATATGATCACTCATAGTCTTTTCCAACTAAAACTACGAGCCACTCCCGGCCACGGTCACCTCTGGTCCCTGAGCACAGGCTCGGGCACTTAGGAGGTGCCCAGAGAAGTTCGCAGATGAATGAGCACTGAGCGAGGCCAGAGGAGGGGGACCGCTTTCGTGGCCCGGGATGGCGACCCATGTCAGAGGCCAGAGCAGCAGCAGCAAACGAAGCTTCCCGGGCCCTTTCACCTGGGGCTAAGTTCAAGTTGAAAAAGTAAGTCAGCAGAGGACCTGTGCGCCAATGGACAGATGTAAGCGCTCGTGCGGCAGGAACGGAAACACGGAGGGGAGCTGGCTCTGGGGACCGGAGGCCGAGCCGACTGGCTTTCCCAAGAACGCACCCGAGTGCGGTGTCAGGCCCGCACTGCGGGGAGGCTCCGAAAGGCCCCTCGCTGAAGGGTCACAGGACGAAGACTCTGTCCTGGCCTCTGGCAGCCGGCAGTGAACCAAAGGTCAGGGGCTACGCAGGGTCTCGGACATTTCTACCTCATTCTGAGAGCTCAGCCCGCATTCTGGCTACCCCGCTTGGCTTGCCTTTGTCACCGGGTTGCTATGGAGAATGCTGCAAACAAATGCCCTCCTCTGCTTGCCAACCTTCCGCGGTTCCCTGCTGCAGGTGAATGGAAGCCGCGTGTTTGCTTTAGCATCTAGAGGTGGGGCCCTGCCACCTTTCCAGTTCCATCCCTCCCGGTCCCTCTCACGGTCTCGCCTCCACACCGCTGCTTGAGCCGCTCCTTCTGCCCCAAGCGCCCTTCCCGAACTGCTGTCCATTGAAGACCCACTGCTCCTCCCTCTGGGCTCTGCCCGTCCCCACCTGGCACCTGACTTCCCCAGACGCCCTGGGACAAACCATCCCTCCAGCACCCTGGGTGCTCCAGGAAGTCCCGCTCCCAGGCTGCCTGCACTACGGCGACGTGTGTGTGTGTGTGTGTGTGTGTGTGTGTGTGTGTGTGTGTGCAGCTTTCCCACTGGATACCATGGTCCCGGGGGACCGGGGTCAAATCGGTGCCACTTCTGCACGGTAGACAGGGCTTGCACAGCGGTCTTTCTGAAATTGCTCTTTCAACCAAACTACAGACATGATCTGAGGAGGGCTGAGCTATGCCGAGAGTCTGAGGACTGCTTCTTCCTCGAGGTGAAGAGGTGCTCCCGACCGGGGGACTTTGCTGAGAGGTGGAGCGGTGGCTCCCGACGAGCACGCCTGGAGCTCGGGGTTGCACTGTGCAGAGAGGCGCTGGGCCGAGCAGGGCTGCATCCAGCCCGGGTGCCACTGGCAGGCTGTGCATCTGGCACAGGGCTGCGTCTGTTCCAGGAATATGAGGAAGCTCTTTTCTTCTCACAAGGGTGCCATTGGCAGGCCAAGCCTGCTCCCTGGGGTCTCCGTCTAGCCAGAGGGGACACCTTTTCTGAGACTCACACAAAGAAACAGTACATGTTTCTAAAGGGCTGAGCGCAGCGTGGCTGCCATCACACCTGCCATTCTACCTGAGATCCGGCAGGTAGGGAGGAAGGGAAGACCGGTGTCCCGTCAGGTCCTGCACAGCCTTGCAGGTCAGGCCTACGGGCAAGCAGGCAGGCAGGGTGGGAGCTTGGCCAGTGAAATCCCCGACCTCTCAAAACCATTTCCTTTACCCCAAATCCTGCTTCCCCTGAAGGGCAGGCACTTGTGCTTGGGAAACAAATCTTGGCCACTTGGTTCTGCGACAGTGACAGTGCCTGCCCAGGGGGGCAGAAAGGTCCCCAGGGGAATGCAGGTGCCCGCCAGGAGTGGCAGGCACTCTTTCTCATGTAAATGAGCATTCGGGCCCAAGAGGAAAGGGTCTCAGGTCTCTGCTCCAGCCCTCTCCCTCCTCCACTGATGTTCTGTTCCTAGCCGTTCTCATCACCCCCCGCCCCCAGCTTTCACCCCTGCCCCCGCAGTTGTTTCCAGCCCAGATCTGAAGGACAGGCTTGAACATCCAGCACCTGCCCGACACTGTCGCTTGCATGCGCTCGGGCACCTGACACTTCCAAGTTCAAACAGGACTCGGCTTCGCTTCCCTGCTGACCCCAGGTGTCAGCTCTTCACCCAGGCTTCCCACCGAAAAACAATGGAGCCGCCGGTCACCCACGGACTGACAGGAGCCCCAGATGCAGGGTGGGGGGGGGGGCTCCTTTTCTTCCCCCCGCCCCCAAATCTGATCCTGAACAAGCCCTGTCAGTCCCTTGCAGCGCCTCCCAGCATCCTCGTC